TAGAGGCTATTATGCTAAATGAAATGATCCAGACACAGAAATAAAAATATCAGAATGAATAATTTTCTGTCTCTTGTATAGAACCTGAAAAGAGAAGAGTGATTACCAGGAATAGGGAAAAATAGGAGGTTGAAGGAATTATTGAGGGTAGAAATGTAGATGGATATGAACAATGCATGTTGTATGAATGTATGGAAATATCACAGTGAATCTCATTTATTTGTACAATTTATACATATAAATTATTAAAGCATAAAGTATACATATATAAAAGTTAAAAAATAAAAATTACTTGTTCATTTTTCCACTTTCTTTTTCAAGTGTAGGTGATAGAGAATAAAAGAGATATATATATGCTACCCACTAGATACATTTGATTAATATTCAGAACTTGTAATGAAGGTAATGTGACAGAAATTCAAGTTTTAATGTTACTTAATTTCAGGTCACTTAAATTTAAATGGCTACATATAGCTGTTGACTACCACATTGAACAAAGTAGGTCTACACTATTTAGACTCTAAGATGTATTTTTCATTTGTAAGTTATTTACCAAGTAATTTTACAATCTCATAAATATTTCACATATTTATTTTATAATAGAAAAAGTTAAATCTGAATTTCAAAATAGCACAAAATCATGATATTATTATACTTCTTTCAAAATTGGAAATGTGTCTTTTGAAAACGTAAGAAGTCACTGTGTACTTCAGACCAAAAATGAAAAAATAATTTATAAAAACAAGTATCGCAATAGCCTTTGAAATTGCTGTTTATTTTTAAATAACTGTCTTCTATTAGCTAAACTCAATTCTTTTCCCCTAGAAGCACAAATGAGGTGAATTCAAAAGAATTAGACCTGGTCTCTAAAAGAGAATTCACATGTTTTTAACAAAACATAACATTTTCATTTCTGAAGTAAGTTTCATACTGCTCCACTGAAAATTTCAAATATCAATGGAAAGCACATGAAAGAAAAGTAAGAATAATTTAAATAACTATAACCATCCAGGCACCTTCCAAGGCTTTCCTATAAAAGTTGCAAAGATCCCCAAACTTGCATGCCAGTATGTTGATTATAGTTTCAACAATTTACCATTAAAATGTGCTTCAAGGGGACTGTAAAGAAGTTTTAGGGCATCATAGAGGAGGAGTAAGAGAAGGTTGTAGAGAGGATGGATTCAATCAAAGCACTTCATGTACATGTATGAAAGGTCACAATGAAAGCCATTCATTTCTACAATTAACATGCACTAATAATTTCAATATTTTTTTAAATTTTGGAGACAGGGTCTCGCTATGTAGTTCAGGCTGGCCTTCAACTCATTATGTGACCCAAGCTGGCCTTGATCTCACAGCAATCCTCCTTTCTCAGCCTCCTGAGAGCTGGGATTACAGTCATACTCGATTGTCCCCAGCTGTTCTTTTTAAAATGTTCTTTAACCCCAGGTCATAGAGCAGGATTTTTTTCTTCTATTGTTCTTTTCCCTCAGCTATCTCCCATAGTATAGGTAAATAAAACAATTATACTTAGAAAAGTATGCTGTTTTCAATGCAAATCTGCAATTTTTAAAAGCACTATTTCCATTTGAGAAGTGAATAGGCCAGTAGATGCTGGCTATCATAAAATCAAGGATATAATGTCCACTATTTCTTGATTACAAAGACTTTATACCCTATACACAATGACTCAAACTGAATAAAATAATTTCACAATGTGCCACAGCTATTATTATAATGACTAGCAAGAAGTTAGTAGCAATTATCGTCAGGAATAGAGTTTTAGAATTCCTCTACAGATGTTAGATTCTGCTAAGGTTACTGAACCACATATAAAATTTAGAAACAGAATAAACCCACATGGAGAAGATTTAGCTTTAAATTTTTAAAAGGTGAGGATAAGTCCTAGATAATACTGCCTGAGATCTTAGTGCATGAACATCTCCAAAGCACAGAAAAGAATTCTCCTGCTTCAATTCAGGACATACTTCCAGCTAGGAACATCCTAACCCACCTCAATTCCTGTAACTTTACATTAATTTAGTACCTGAGTGACTGAAATACAGTTCCACCCTGATGAAGCACAAAATCTGGGTGGAAGGAGATCCAGTAGATGAGAAGAGGGGAAAGAAAAAGAGAAAAAGCTGATGTAGTAAGGGACTGTAAAGTCTTCTAATTGCAAAAAATGTTGGAAAACACAAGCAGCTCATCACTCTGGAGTGTAGCTTTCAGAGAGGGCAGTGGGAAAATGAGGTAAAAGCTATAGGCAAAGGCCATAAATAGGGAGGTGACAATGTTGCTCACAAGTCTTGATCCTGGAAGCCTGAAGGGCCCTAGAGCCTTCCCTGCCCTCTTCTCACAAGACTTGGTCATCTTGACCTTCCATCACTGACCAGGTACTCAGGAAACCTGTAAAGGATCTTCTGGAAATTAATGGCAGATAGAGATTAATAATTTACCAAACAGAAGCAGTGTGCTTTGGTAATCCAGCTATGTCTACTGCACTCACATTTCAGTTTGGCCTCTACGTATTGTTCTTGGTTTTTCTTGCCATGTTTAATGGAAACATGACAACTGTAAGCAGTACTGTAAGAGTAAAATTTACCCTCTTTTATGCAACTTGTAGACTTTTGAAAGTGTAGTGAGTTCTACTATCAGTATGTAGAACATTGCTATCACTCCAAAGAAACCCTGCAATTGCACAGTGCGGGGTGAATGGATAATTTCTTCTGCCTTCACCAGGACAAACCCACCTAAGTAGCATCGCCTATATGAGTGTGAGAGTAGATAAAATTGCCACCTCTCTGGATCTTCTTCCTCTTTTTTTGTAAGACACTCACTTTCTGGCTTTAGTGAGAGACCACAAGGCTTGTTACTTTCTAGACACTTCTTTCTTACACTTCTGTAGCATGACCTGCAGGTGGGTGAACTACCTAATGCCACACTGGGCTATGAACTTATTTCCAGCCAGATCCTGCTATAAATAGTAACATAGCCTTTCCAGTTTTAAGCCCAGATGACTGAGCTAGTGATCAACCATGTACAGGAATCCTGATTCAGTAGAGTCTCTGACCTCAACAAGAGTTCACTCTTCTGGTGAAAACACTTATTCATTGAGATCAGGATGGGAGTTAAAGGTGTACATATCACATATCCCCATATAAGTAACCCATACAGTATTGCCTTTGAAAATGACTCTACTTCATCTCTCTATATCAATTAATTAACTATGTAGATCTACTTTTCTCACCCACCCAATGTATGATGAATGATGGCTCACCAGTATGGTTGTAGGAAAAGAACAAGACCTATGAAAATGTGATGCTCGCACAACTCTGAATATACTAATGGCCACAGAAATGTGCACATTAACTAGGTGAATTACATGGCATATAAATTATATCACAATAAAGCCATTATTGAAAAGAAAAAAAGAAACTATTAAGCCAAAATAATAACTCAGTTTTTGGCTCAGATCTTATGGTGGACTGGCATTGCTTTTTTCAAAAGACAAACTTTAGTTTTCAGTAAGACCTACAGATACAGGTAGGGCAGTCATTTGGTTCTCTAATTTTCATGAAAACACTTCAATCCAAAATACTGCCATAGTAAACAATACAGTATGAACCATATCACTAGATATAGTCTTCAAGTGACAGATGCCTACCAAAAACTATTGACAAAATGTCTGAGGTAACAGAAGTGTCACACAGCCTGATTTGATCGCTACTCAGAGTAAACACGTTTTTAAATTTCACACCAAACTCCATACATATGTTCAATTATATATGAAAATGTATATTTAAAAATCTCTTGATAGAAATATTTGGAGAATATTTAAAGGACATGAGGTTCACCCATCCCTCCATAAGATCTGGGTTTTTCCCCAAATAACATCCATCTATAACACCGCTGCATAGGAGACCACAGGGCCTTAGCTTCCAAGTGTGTCCGTAACATTAGAGTAAGGACAATGGCTACTACACCGACCATTTCAGAAAGCACGCTGAGAACATGCACTGCTGTGTGTGTCATGGGGTAGCACTGAGGATGCTCTCCTATTGCATTCTTCAGTCCCCTCTGCCTCCCTATGCAATGCAGCCACATGACATGTCCCTCAAAAGTAAATGCCAGGAAAAGCCTCTCTGAGGAGTCAGCATGTTGCCCCTGTTATTGCCACTGAACTGGGCCACTGACCATTCTCTTACTATGACCTCCACCTGTAGCTTCATTAAGTGCAGATGACCTTTCAGTCCCATATGCCCCCCGACCCCGTTTGTTCTCTCAGGGCAACTTTCCATGCCAGGCTGTATTTTATTGTTCATTTATCATACTCAGTCTCACTTTAAATGTTTCCTGGATGTTTAATGACAATAAATACAGGGACAGATTTTGTATGTGTGCGTTTATTTTAATACATTTTGATGCAAAAAATATGATTCTTAAGGGAGCTCTTGTGTAATGCCCAGGGCCTGGAACGAAGATGACCAATAAATACTTGTTACTAGGAATCTGTATGGTTTTGTGAAAGCAGAATGAGCTTTTACATTTATTTTATTAGTAAGAAAATAAAACAAGGCACATTTCATATATATACATATATATGTATATATATAACAACTGATAGTTCCACAGTCTAATTTCTTTGGTCTTATATTTTTGTGTATTGTTTAAAATTTTTCAATATTAGTTTTAAGAAATATTTTAATAAACTGGTTAACATTTTATGTTATTAACAAATTCAACTGTTCATAGAAAAACTACAAAAGAGAGTTCAGTGCCATGTTTTCAAACCACTGAAAGTTGTGGGCAAACATTATGTTCTGGGAATAAGAAAACATAACAGATTGGCCAATCCCCACAAAATACTAACGTTAACAAATTTCTCCTTTACCTAGGGTAATGTCCATGCTCAGTAAGTTTTTATCCATCCCTTGTCAGCTATATTTATCTTTACACATTTACAAAAAAGTTAGCGTTTCACCTTACCATTATATTACCATTACCATTGTAAGGTTTCACCTTACCATTACCAAGCAGCCCATTACACACATGCATTAACATAACCTTTTTCTGAAAATCTGCTGTGAATTTTCAATTTGTATTTCATACTTTCAAAGTGCTAGTAACCCAGTGATCTCTACTGAGCAGTGTGCTACTTTTTGTTTTAACAAAATGTATATGCAGCAACACCCCCACCCCCATCCCCATCCCCCAGATGGCTCAGGACCCCGCGCTGTCACAGGACACAGTCTGCAGCACCCTCGCCCCCCTTGGCAAATTCCCCTCCCGGGAGGACACCGCTGCGGTCTGCCACTCCCCGGGGCCAGGCGCAGCTGTGTCCGGGTCGGCAGGCAGATAGCTGGGAGTGGGATGCAGCGCTGTTGGCCCTCAGGAGCGGAACGGAGGTGGAACCTCTGCCTCCCGCCAGGCGGGGCGCCGCCTGCCAGGCACGATAAGCGCCCTGTGCCAGGAGAGCCGGAGCCGCCCACAAACGGGGACGCCACCCTTCTGAAGAGCCTAGGTCTCCCAGCAGACTGTCCAGGGGCCCTCAGGGACGAGCCCAAAATTCTGCCTGGGGACGTCTTCCAAATAGAAAATGATGATTAGCGCTGGTATCACGGAATCTTCCTGGGCTGATGGAGATCTCTTCTCTCCCGGAAAGGCTTGGGCTGCTGCTGGCCGCGCCCCAGTGTTGGGGCTTCTGATGCTTAAATTTCTCCCTCAGACTTTGTTCACCCGAAGGCAATAGATGGTATTCGGTGTATGAGCTCAAGTGAAATTACATGGCCGTGCCCCAGGGATAAAAAAATCAGGAATTTTTTCTAAGGATTTATGGAATTTACATGAAAGTGTCACTATGGAAGTTTACAATGTTCTTCACATCACTGTGGAATACATCAATGTAAAGAGCTGCGTAGTAAATAACACAGTGAAGGGACAACTTATAGAATGGAAGATAATCCTTGCCAGCTATTCATCTGTCAGGTCAATATGCAGAATCTATAAAGAATAACAACAAACGAAAATCAATAACAAAAACCCAAATTGTCCAATTTAAAGTGAGGAATGGACAAATGATCTGAATAAACGCTTCTGAAAAGAAGAATGGCCAATAAATGTATGAAAAACTTCAGTATCATGAGCTACTAGGATAATACAAATCAGAACCACAAAGAGATACCAACTTATCCCAATTAAAAAAAAAAGTTCTGATGAACAGGTGGAGAAAAAAGAGCATTTATACACTGTGAGTGGAAATGTACATTAATGTAGCCACTGTGGAAAACAGTGTGCAGGGTCTTTAATAATGGGACAATGGGGCCCAGGGATTTAGCTCAGTGGCGCTGCAGCCTGCCTTGGAAGCGCAGTGTCCCGAGTAGATCCCGGGTACAAAACAGAACGAAACAAAACAAACAAACAAAAATGGGACAATGGGTATAGGAAATGAAGTCAGCATGTAAAAGAGACTCCTCTATGCCTATGTTACTTATTCCACTCCTCACAATAGGGAAACTATGGAAGCAGTGTCAGTGCCCCTCAACAGGTGCATGGATAAAGAGAATGTGATGTATATACACAATGAAGCCTCATTCATTAGGGAAAGGTTACATGATAAATATTCCCTATCAAGAGAGCAGCACTGTATATTTGGAAACAAATGAAACTGCAACAGCTAGAAACTTGGTTTAGAGTGCAACTCCGTAAACTACTATTTAGTTAACTTAAAGGCGTTTAAAACAAAAGAACAGGAAATATAGTGAGCAGAATTTAACATACTACAAATTGTTACATTCTTTTTTTTCTTTTAAATTTCAGATGTATTGGTGAAGAATTCTTGATACTCCAAGCATACTACTAAAATCTAAAAATAAACAAACCACCACAATGAAAGGAAAAATGCCTTTGATAAGCATATTATGGTTGGTGGTACTTACTGATACATCTCTCTAGTGGCATTTTCTCAGGAGACTTGTTGAGCACTTCGGGCTGTAGGAGTAGAGGACTGGGTGTGTAGTTTGGTCCTTGTGCCAGTTCTCTGATATTCTGGCTCCGACATGTCAGTTCACCTTCCCAGGATGGCTCAGTGATACACAATCTGTACATCAGAATCTTGAAACTCTACAGTCTGGACAAGATAGCTCGCCCCACCACAGCAGAACCTGCTCAGCGGCCTCCACAGAGAACTGACCACTGCTGGACTTCGTGACTCCCAAGATCCTTTCCACTCTGGAAATTCTACATTGTGGTTTAATATTTTTTTTATTTCTGCCCCTGTGTAGCTCCTCATATTGTGCACCTCACTTATTTCCATATGTTCTCTACATTTTAACTGATACCAGTGACACAGGAGTATTTACCAGAAATATGAAGGTATTTTAAAAATTCTTTTTTTCCCCATTGTTTATTGGTACATTTTAGGTATAAAATACAGTTACATTTACCATTGGGATCTTGTACCATTACATGAGTATCTTGGTTCTTAGAAAATTCTTATTCATGTCAGGGTAATGTAACATGAAGTGCAGCATGGTGAATTACCATAGAAGGAATACATGTGCAGAACCACAACTCCAGGTCAGGAAATGGCACATGACCAGCACACGGAATCCTCACAGGCCCCTCTCCTAGTCACTTCTTCCTCTTGTCTCCAGAGGTTGTTCTGAAATGCCACTTGTGTGTTCCTCTGATGGTCTCATCAGAGTATCAAGACAACTCAGTTTTGGTTTTTTGTGTGCACAGATTTAGGTCTCACTCCTACTCTTTAATAAACTTTTCATTTTCAAATAATTTAAAATTTGCAGAAAAGTTAGAAAGAAAATGTGAAATTTCCCATGTATTCTTGGTCCACATTTCCTTACTGCTAACATTTTATATGATACACAGCAAAGAAGTTGATATTGGGACATAAGTGTTAAATAAACTGCACACTCCAATCAGATTGTACCACTTTTGTACCATTTCCCCCCCTGGAATCTACCTTCCCTTTTCAAACACAAACACTTAAGAGAATTTAAGAGAGCTGAGCATCTCCAGAATACAGGGCCCCTGCGACTGTGGTTGCTTTGAGACATCATTCAGCCTGACAGTGAGTGCCCTGTCTCAGTTATATCAGTCTGGGGACAAGGCTCATTATTTTTGTCCATGAACTTTAAGGAACATTTTTTCTTTGTATGATATTACATGATATTCATGTAGTTATTACATGAATGTCAAGTTCAATTTATTTTTGCTTTTTATTACACAGAAAATATTATATTTTATGTGCAAAATATAACCAACAGAACAAGTGAAACTGTTAGAATTATTAATACCTATTTTAAAAATAAGAAGTTAAAAATAATTTATAGATATATTTGTAAACTTTTGTGTTATAAATACCTTTTATATATCCTTTTATCTGGTAAAATATATAACAAATAATTTACTATCACATCAGTTTTTAAATTGAGGAACACTTTTTTAAAGTGAGAGCCTTTTTTTTATAAAATGGAAAAAAAAATGCTAGTTTATAGATATTTTCTGAAGAATATATGTACATTCTTTTCAATTTTGTTTTTACTTTCTTGAATGCCAGAATAAAATTATAATGGAGGGAACAAATAAATTTGGTTCAAAATAAAACAAAACAAAAGGATAAATGGATTTAGTTTGTATTTAAATTCCAGTAACTCTTCTCAGACTACTAGGGAAGGCTGCAGCTAGTGCGTCTCCTGGGGAAGGAAATAAGAAAGGAAAGCAGGTGTTAGAGAGAAGTGCTCACACTCTTTCCCTGTTTTTAAAGCCATCCTCTGTGATCTTTAATGTGAATTTTATTAACATCCTTATCATTTATATACTTTTAAAAAGTAGAATTATTTATTTGGAGAAGACTTTTAACTACTCCAGTGTTTGGTCAGTGGGGTTTTTATCAGAATGTAAAGATAGTGTGATAGAGACTTTTAATTGGTCTTCTGACAAGTTGAGCTCCATCAAAGAGGATTTAATGATAATCACTGCTGACACTTGATGCAATATGGTCCTGACCTTCAAGCTGAACAGACCAACCAGTAAGTGGGTGGCTAAATGATAATATGTTATAACCGACTGACTGTCCCTGGCATCTTTGGGATCACTTATTAGGCTGTATGTCCTAATGGAGGCATTAACTTTACAGAAATACTTTTGAATTGTCTATGGCTGTTTTTGCTTTTTGATAGCAAAGTGGTTTGACAAACCATTATTGCTCATATAATCTGAAATATTTACTATCTGTCCCAGCATATAAAGTTTGCTTCCCCCTATATAAAACTAATAGGTTCTATTTCCAATAGTTGAAATATTCAGGTCCATGAACCAAGCAACACTGATTTTTCTTTATATAATTGTCATTAACTCATTTGTAGGATTTATACTTCCTTTCTGTAGCTTTGGGCTCTGCTTAATTAGATGCCTGGAATCCCAAAGAGTAGGGAGCACGCCCACCTGGAACTCATCTGCTAGTGAGTTGCACTAATCCTCCTGTACTATGGTTACTAGAGATTATAACTGTCCTTTCTGTCAGTGTCCAGAGTGGAGTCAAAGTGGGCATTACTGCATCTAGGGTGGTGAGGGAGTGGACTGAAGTGGGGCCTCTTGGTGCTCCACTGCATCTCCTCTGTGTAATCCTCCTCCACTCTTTGCTGCAGCTGTCGGGGGCAGTTCCATGTGAGTTGAGATCATTCTTGCAGCTCCCATCTTTGGCCTTCACCACAGACCTCTCCACTTTCTGCTCTTAGTCTTCTCCACAGTGGAAAGAAGCTCAGCCTGTGGGCAGGTATAGCCTGGCAGTGCCAGGATTAACACCCCATGACTACCAAGGCCAGACACAAAAACCTCAGCCTTATTTTTTTCAGACAGGAAGGCATGGGAGGCATTCCTTCCTGCTGTTAGAGGGGGAATAGTCCTGTTGTCTACAGAGGCAAAGCCATCAGCACACTTGTGTACCTGCATTTCCTCCTTTCCTGCATCATCATGCTGTTTGTAACTGCAGTTTCCCAGTGTCATCTCCAACAGAAAGGCCCTGAAGGAATCAACACAGATTCAGAACTAGAGAGTCAACAAAGTTCTGAGTGTAGGCTCATTACTTAAAATTAAATGTCCTATGTAATAGCCAAATCCAACTAAAAATACATATATAATGGAACCAAGGTTATGTTCATAATAGCAATAAAACCATAAAATAGTAATGAAATAATAGCATCAACAAAACCATTCATGTTATTCAATGCACAAGACATTTATAAAAAATTTAAAGAGCATAAAGGAAATTTGAATAAACAGAAGTATCATGTTTTTGATGTTCTAAAGATGTCAGTTCACCAGAAACCAATAAACTTAACAAAATTCCAATGAAATTTCAGTGTGACTTTTCCCTTTACCTCTGCCAGGAATCCATCAAACTTTTTGTAACATTTATATGGAAGAACAAAGGCTCACAAAAATAGCTTAGTTTTGGGAAAAATAATACAAACAAAATACAAAGGGAAGTATCACCTTACTACATATGAAGACATACAACTTAAGACAGTAATAGGTATCTTTGTGTGGGAGCAATCATTGATAAAGGGTTAAAGTGTTCAAAAGCAGACACATATTTAATCTGAAATATATAACTGACACCAAGAACTAGTAGTAAATGAGGACATATTTAATAGACAGTATTGATAAAATTGGCTCTTTGTATGGAGGAAAATTCCCATGAACCTTATGCAAAGTTTTCTTTAACTCATATTAATGTGAAAAGTAAAATCAAGATTTAAATAACACTTTGTGATCTTATGCAAGCGTGCTTAACAATCAAAACTCGGGAAGGCAAAAATTGATGGGTTTTATTATGTGAAAACAAAGGAAACATTGACAAAGTTATTAGATGGATGAGAGTTATTAAGATATTCCAAAGCTCTAAGGGATTAATACTAAAACCAGACAACTTTTATAAATCAACAATTAATATTTTGATTCTTTTGAAAAAGACAATGAGCAAAAGCATAATTTTTCAAAATGCTAAAAATGTAATTATAAGTTTGAACAAGCTATTTGTAAAAAAGGAAACTTGAATGTTTAAAATCTATATGAGTGGATATTTAGCCATACTAGAAATCAAAGAAGTACAAAATAAGATGAATTCCCATTTTAACCCATTCCATTCACAGATGAGGGAGTCAAATGATACCAACACTGGTGAGTGTGTGGCAAGATTACAGTTCTTAGAATTGAATTCTAAAAGCCACTGACAAGTTACTAATTTCTTCAGTATCAGTTTTCTTATCCTTAAAATGAGGTTAGTAACCCTCCAGTTTTAATAGTCCACGAACCTATGATCTATCATTGTTTTATGTATGTTTTCCAGGGTAAAAAAAAAAGCCAAACTCGTAGAAAAATATCTTCAATAGTCTTATTAAAGTTGGTGGCACTTAGTTATAATATCCCAGGTGTCTTGTCTAGGGCTTTAGGGTATAGGTGGAGTAAAGAGATAGGGGTCGTGGCGATATGACTTTTGTGCCATTCCTGGAACATTCTGGCTCTAAAAAGTCACTTAACTTTTAGACAATTCAGAGAGAAATTATATATATACTTTATGCATGAAATGTGCCTATCAGAACCAAAGACATAGCCAAAATTTCTAACATGTACTCTTTAAATTAAGATTGTAAATATAACCTATTATATTTATCTTCCTTTTACATTATAACTGCCTTTTAATATACTTTATTATGATGATGATAAGAACCACAACAAACCACCATCACCTTGGATCAGGCACTGTTTTAGGAGCTGGGGATACATGCCATCATCAACGAAGACACAAAATAGAATAGATGAAGCAACATAGAACAACAAACTGCCCTCCTGGACTTTATATCCTAGTTTTTAAATATTTATTGAGTCATGAGTCCCTGAAGGAATAATAAACAAGGAAGTGAAGGCTATCACTTTAGAAAAAATCCATTTCTCCTGTTTCCTAGCCATGAAACCTTGCACATTTAAGCTTCCTAAATTGTATTTGCCTCATTTATAAAGTGGCATATAATATTAGCACTTAGCTTTCAAGGTGACTGTGGGGATGAAAAAAGGTAAGGTATGAAACAGCCCCATGTGAGACTGCTATAAAATTATCTGTAAATGATACTTTACCCTCTTTTAGTATAGGAACAGTAACTTTGAACACCTTGCTGTAACTTATACCACCTCATCCAGTGGTAAGCACACAGAAAGCCCTCAACATACTGATACATTGAATCGATGATGTCAAATATACAATTTTCAAGGAGAAAGAGGGACTTTCAAAGTCATTTGTGAATATATTGCAGAAGTCATCCATTGAAGATAGAATTTTAAAGTTAGTTTTCCTTGTTTTGGAGACCAGGTGTCTAGAAAGAGTTGTGACACTGTCCAGGTGACACATTGGCGCTCGTCCTTCCAGAAGTCACTGGGGTACAGAGCCAAGTGAGCTCCACGTCAGAACTTGCACACATGTCTGCACAACTAACACCTCCATGAGGGACTGGTCACAGTGGACGGACATTGGGATGGACGAATGTTCACATAAGGTCTACCTCATCCTTGTCTTCTTCCCTAATCATTCCTTGATGATTTCTTCTCTCCCTCTCCCTCTCCTTCTCCCCCCCCCCGGCCCTTTCTCTCTCTCTCAAAAAAAATTTCACATAGATGTTGGCTTAAGTGAAATAAATTGCCTCACTACTGAGTATCACCTTAAGATCAGGCACTTTTACCTGACACTGGGTACTTTTCACAGGCCTATTCAGTGTCATCTCTGCCCTCTCCCATTTCAGACCCCTCAGGCTTATGGGACTGATGTACACAGGCCCTGACATGAGCTGGGTCAAGCTTCTCATGCTGCAGCTGTGCCCTTGCTGCTCACTCTCCCTACAATGATGTGGGCAGCCCTTCCTGGTTCCCACAGTTTGATTCTCTTTCCTCTCTGCCCTCCTCTGTCCCTGAGACTGACCTCTGTGGACTCTACCACCTGTCTCCTCTTCTCCCGTACTCCATCTTTTCTTCATCTGGATGTAATTTGGAAGATGATCCTCCAGTCTTGGCCACAGCTTCTGGGGAATATCTTTATCCACAGCTACTAGCTTCTCTCTGAGCGGTTGGGTCCCTTGGTCCCTGAACCTGGAAGTGTTGACTTTCCTGAGTGCCTCAGCTCCCATGCTGGTTCCCTTAGCCATGCCATATCTCAGTAAAGACTCTCATTCAGCTTTCTATAAGCACCACTCTGGGTCACCATCTCTTTCCTTCCAGGAGGCTCCCTGATACAGATGCTTCTACTTTATAACACATTTTATATATATTAATGTATAAAATACATAAGCATTTTAAAGGAACTAAATAAAATATTCCTTGTTTTTATTTTCAAGACATAAATTTTGCCCACAAGTTTGAGTGTTTACTGGAGTTAATTGAACTCTGTTTTGTTATGTTTGTTGGATAGTTGAGTTTAAATAAATAACTTTAACAATTGACCTTATTTCAATAATACTGAAGAAGTTCAAAGAATAGAAAATAATAGGACCAAGGAAATTAGATTGTAAATCTATTGCTTGAAATATGTGTATATCTGTAATATTGTCTCATTTTAGTTTCCTTCCTGCGAGTAGAAATGTTAAAGTTTAGGGCTGGGGATTTAGCTCAGTGGTTTTGCCACCTGCTGCACAAGCACAAGGACCTAAGTTCGATCCCTGGTACCAAAAAAAAAAAAAAAAAAAAGAAATGTAAAAGTTTCTTCCTTTTTCCAGAAAAACAGATTCATAGTAACATGTGTATGGGTCATATTTGTTTCAAGGCTTGGACATTATACAAGAGTTCCCATAGAAAACACACTGTAAAAAAAAAGAAAGAAAATACATTCTTTTGCATTATGGTATATTAAAATGTGCACATGTGCAAAAACCTATTTCTGCACACATTGTAATTAAGCATTCATAAAACATTTGAAATTAGCATAAGTGTTGTAAAAGGAAAATAAAATGCAACCTAGAGTGTAATGTTGCCATGAGATAGCAAATTGAGTGAACTAAAGACTTTACTGTGTGTAATAAAGCTGCACTCTGGAGGCCGAGTTGAAAAGGGAATGATCCATCACACAGTTCCATGTGATGTACTCCCTCTTCAGAGAAGATTTCCAGGCATTTACTTTTCTGTTACTCTTTCTTTCCCTTCCTTCCTTCCTTCCTTCCATCCATCCCTCCTTTCCTCTTTCCTTCATTTTGTGCAGGAATTTGAAACCAGAGATTCTACTATTGAGATAAATTGCCTACCTCTTGTGACTTTTGTGATCTTCAGTCTTTTCAACTTCACCTTCAGAGTATTCTAGAGATATCTCTCTTCCATATCCCCTATAAATATTTTTTTTCTCTCTCTCTCTCCTCTCTCTCTCTCTCCCCAGAGATTTCAGTTTATCCGGTGGTTAGTTCATTAAATACTAATCTAGGGACCACTCTGAGGAACTGCATAATTGTAACTAAAATCACAAATCAGTGGCGTAGAGACTGTGGTGGTGGCCCTCATTCAGAATCCTAAATCCTCTAAAAACTAGAAGAGAAAGAGGAACTGAAAGTCTGAGAAGGACTTGATTGGCTTGGAAGATGGAGATGCTCACATGGGAAGAAATGCAGGCAGCCTGCAGGAACCAAGGTAGCTCCAGTTGATAGTAGCAAGGACACAGGGACCTCGGTCTTAGAGGCAACAGGATGCTGCCAATAACCTGACTCAGCTAAGAGTCCATCTGGCTCAAAATTGATTTTGCCTGGTGATACCCTAATCTACCTAAACTCCTGATATCCATACCCAGGAGATAGTGGATGCTGTGAGATATAAACTCGATGATAATCTGTTATTCAGCAACCGAAAATAAAAACAGCTCTCCTCCACTTCCATAATGCTACTTTCATATGCAAACGATGGGAATTTGTCAAAATAAGGAATGTCAGAGTTACATGCCTCAGCTCCATCAGAATCCAGGTGACACCTCTCTGTGCCCCCTTTGTACCTACCTATAGGCTTTACTTTCCTGGGATGATGCATCACTTTTCTCAATTCCCTCGCTCCATTTTTTCCCATTTCTTTTTTCTTTTTTTTTTGCTTAAATTCTTTTATTGGTACATTTTAGGTATACAATACCTTTACATTTATCATTGGGTGCTTGCACCTGTACATGATGTATCTTGGTTCTTATACCCACCAATCAGAGCCACATCCTAGAGTTTATTCAACCCTCTATCTTCACATCTTATGAATAAGGAAGCCATGCTCATTTGTAGTTTTTATGTCACTGTGATTATAGAATCCAACTTCAGAGGCCCCTAGTGTTTCTGTGTAGTCTCTCCTTGTACCTTATTAGTTATGGGAGGACAACCTTTTCCTCTTCCAAATTAGGTCTAGAGGTTGGGGGCTTGCAAAATAACCTACAGCAGACACATTAACCATGGGGGAGACAAGTTAAATTTTGATGAATTTCAAGAATATCTCAAAGGGTAAAAGTCACATTTCCTGGGGCACCAGAAAGTTCCTCCTAGAGATAAATTCTTGGTAACAAGGGTGTCTCTGGCAAGTACTCATAGAAAGACACTTGTTTTTCAACGTCAGGTGTCTTTCTGGAACATGCTATAAGAGCAACACTGGCCCCATCTAGCACTTTCTCCCTTTTTTCATGTATTTTGATGTTTCTGTGTTTGGTTTGGACCACGTACAGGATGAATCTGTCTGTATCCTCTCAATAACTTTAGGAAGATCCATACTGATGTGGAGATGGAAGCAATGTTCAACAAGTCTGATTAAGATGGAGACCAACAACTGGCTGAACATGAACTTTAGCAGATGAGAGATGACTCAGAAGAGGTTGGATCTTGTCTTAGAGAGGATGACTGAATTCAACTCCATTATGTGTCATGCACTACATTAAGTGGTGGGATATTACAAAATCTCTCTCTCTCTCTCTCTCTCTCTCTCTCTCTCTCTCTCTCCC